TGAGCACAATTTCCTTCTCTGCTTGGAGAGGTTCAATTCCTCCCCTCACCTTTTCAGGGTGTGGAAACCCCTAAAATGAAGCACCGACACAGAGAGAAAAAGGTAAAAGCTCTTTACAGATTCAACAAGTCAGTGCTGGGATTCTGGAATTCTCTTTGATACTTCCCAATGTGGAGGAATGTGTGTTTTGTATCAAGCAGCCCCCTGAAAGAAAGACCCGAAGAGCTCCCAGGAGGTGGGTGCTCCAAGAGTCACCCTCACACTTTCACCCTGCTCGAAACCTGAATTCCTTCCTGCAGAGTTTCATCAGGAGGGTGGAGACCAACCCCACCCCAACAAGCCCAAAGTCTTGTTGTTGACACACACACACACACACCTGTGAGAGGTGGAACTTCCATTGGCTCACCACCTCCCCAAACATCCCTGCATCCATGGATACCGGCAGAGAGCTTTCCCGCTGCTGAGTCACAGACGGAGATGCTGGAACTCGCAGACACAACCGCCCAGAAATCCCCCAGGAAAAATCCACCCTCCCTGAGGCACAGGAGCTGAACTCCAGCTGAGTCAATGCACTGATCAGTTGTATTTATTTTTCTCCATTCCAGCTGTCACCATGATGTCTGGAATCCGACACCTGGAAAACCAAGCAGCCTCCATCCTGCAAACCAGCTCCCCAGGAAGACACGGCCACCACGTGGACTGATGACAAGGTTACCATGACATGACCAGAGTGTCAAATATGGATGTTTGGTGCTTGTCTTGTGACAGAAGGATCTGCTCTGCTCATGCCTGGGCATGGAAAAGAGAAGGGTCTGGCGTGACCTTATTGCAGCCTCTCAGTACCTGAAGTGGGGAAAGAGACTTTGGATAAGGGCCTGGAATGGTAGGACAAGGGGGAATGGCTTTAAATTTCCAGAGGGCAGGGTTAGATGGGACACTGGGAAGAAATTCCTCCCTGTGAGAGTGGTAAGGCCCTGGCACAGGATGCCCAGAGAAGCTGTGGCTGCCCCATCCCTGGAAGTGTCCAAGGCCAGGTTGGATGGGGCTTGGAGCAACCTGGGCTAGTGGAAGGTGTCCCTACCCATGGCACAGGGTAGAACTGGATGATCTTCCAATCCAAACCATTGGAAGTCCCTTCCAATCCAAACCATTCCATGATTCCATGGAGTGACTCGAGGCAATGTCCAGTTCTGGGCTGGGCAATGTAGGGGAGAAGGTGATAAACCAGTGGTGGTTCAGAGAAGGATCACTTGGAGAATTGAAGCCCTGGAGAACAAACTTCCCAGAGAAGGAGTCAAAGAACCCACCAAAGTTCTATCCTAAGAAATATCCTAAACAAAATACATCTCCATGGGGGAGAGGAAAATTGCAACAGTGAGAAATTAAGTTTAGTAGAGGGGTAACGGGAGCTACTGGTTGTAGGAACTCTACAAATCGGAGTACAAATATTTTACACAGGAGTAATTTTACACCTGGTTCATATCCAAGCTCTGCACCAGCTCATCAGAGCTTGGTGTTCACTCCCTGCCACAAAATTTACTTTCTTTTTCATTCAAACAAGAATTAACTGTGAGGGAAGTCGAATCAGGGAGTTATAAACCTGTAAACACCGAATTTATGTCACCTGCCTTTCCTGGTGGATGTGATAAGCAGAGAGAGATTATATCACCCTGTATCACCTTATAAATAAAAACAGTCTCCCAGGGACAGGCTGGAACTGGGTTTGGATTGATATCACTGAGAATTCCAGGAGGTTTTTGGCACACAAACCTTTCTCCCTACGCACCACACCTCGTTTATATTCTCACCTCTTCAGACCTGAAGTGACATTTCAACCGAAGTCCCTTATGGCTCCTGTCAGTCAGGGCTCAAAACCTTGCTCCTGACAGAGACAGATGGGAATTTAGGGCCTCCTGAGCCCTACAAGTTGTCTAAGCCTGACCTAACTATGTCAAACCACATCTCCCACACATTTATCAAGCTCAGCTCAAAGCAGGTGGAGTTTCTACCCTGCCTTTTCCAATAAAAAGAATCCAATTTTTCCCATCAAGGCCCAACCTCTGATTCCCAGTCTCATTTAACTTTTGTCTTAACTCTGGCAAAACAAAACAGTCTTTTGGGATCATTTTTTGGGGTGGATCCTAAACTAAACCCATCAGTTTCCATCTGTTGTGGTTTTTTTTTTTTCCATCAGGACACCCCATTTTTTCTCGACAGGGGCAGTGAAATTCCAGCTGAGAAGCCAGTGGGATGTTATCACTTCCCAAATCCCCCTGCCAAGAGCCTCCTTCCCACCTCAACACACAAGTTGGGATCACCTGGGGTTGTTTCTGTTGGGTTTTGGATTTGTTTTCGTGGCACCATCTCACCTCTTTATCTTTACATCAACTAATACCTCAAAGGCAACAGACCTTAGAGGCCTTTCATTCTCTCCACAACTTTCCTGGCACATTCCCAACTTCTCTCTCCCTGACTTCTGGCTCTGCTGCACACTCAGCCACCCTGCAGCAGCTCTGTTGTTTTCCCAGTGAGAGAATCCAATTTTTCCCATTAATATCAAGGTTCTTAATGCATCTTATGGAAAGATTTCCAACTTTTTCAAGCCTTTATACAGAGGTAAGTTATTTATCCCTATTCCTTCAACCACACTGCTTTCTTCCAAGGATTTCTCACTATGGAATGACTTTCAGGTATGAGAGGACCACTGGAACATCTCCACTCAACAAGCCACACACCATCCACCTTTTAGTTTGCCAACTCCACCGTGCTTTCCTAGGAAGGCAGAACCACCTGGAATGCTCAAAGCACTGGATCTTTTCCAGTTTCAAGGTTGTTAATTAGGATATTGCTCAAATTTGCCTTGAGCTGCCCGGTTACAACAAGGATCTGGATGGAACCAGGTCTGCTGGCTTTCAGGGAGCAGAGTTTTTCCTGTACATCCAGAGAGTTCGGTTTGAGCTGCTTTTCTTCATGTTTGTTTTTCTTCATATTTTGAGTTGCTTTTTTCTGTGTTTGAGCTGCTTTTCTTCATGTTTGAGCTGCTTTTCTTTATATTTCGAGCTGCTTTTCTTTATGTTTGCTTTTCTCTATGTTTGAGCTGCTTTTCTTCATGTTTGAGCTGCTTTTCTTTATATTTTGAGCTGCTTTTCTCTATGTTTTGAGCTGCTGTTCTCTATGTTTGAGCTGCTTTTCTTCGTGTTTGAGCTGCTTTTCTCTATGTTTGGTCTTCATGTTTTGAGCTGGTTTTCTTCATGTTTTGAGCTGCTTTTCTTCATGTTTTGAGCTGCTTTTCTCTATATTTTGTGTTGCTTTTCTCTATGTTTTGAGCTTCTTTATGCTTGAGCTGGTTTTCTTTATATTTGCTTTTCTTCATGTTAGAGCTGCTTTTCTTTATGTTTTGAGCTGCTGTTCTTTATGTTTGAGCTGCTTTTCTTTATATTTGCTTTTCTTCATTTTTTGAGCTGGTTTTCTCTGTGTTTGAGCTGCATTTCTTTCTGTTTTGAGCTGGTTTTCTTTATGGTTTGAGCTGGTTCTCTTGACAGTTTGAGCTGGTTTTCTTTACGTTTGAGCCGGTTTTCTTCATGTTTTGACCTGGGTTTTTTTATGCCCCTGGTCTCTGACAGCACAGGAAGATAAAATAAAGATAAAGGACGTTTTTCACTCTCATAGTCGGGTGCAGGTTTTCCCTCCTTTTTACCAAGGCACAGCACTGATCTCACTTCCCCTGCTTTGTGTCATCCACAGCTGTGGAAATTTTCATTAGCAAAGCTTCTCAGGTTACTGGGAGCCATCCTCAGACTGGGAATAAAGGCTGGGCTGCCAGGAATGGCATCTTCAAACTGGGAATAAAGGCTGGGCTGCCGGGAATGGCAGCAATGCCCACGTGTGTTGCCGTAACGAGTCTGTGACGAGCAAAGCACCAAGTCATTAAAACCTCCTTGTTCATCCACCTCACCTCCATCCTTGAAATTTCCAAGTGACTTCCCAGTGATTCACAAACTTTTCTCCTCTGGTTTATTCAGCTGTTTTATGGGGAGTTGCACAACAACACCAGGGTTTTCCAGCGTGGATCACAACAAACAAACACGACCAAAAGTCTTTCAGCTTCTCCTGGGAAATAAGAAATGCTGCTGGCTCAGGCAAAAGGGAGAAGCAAATAATTTCTCCCTGGCTCCAAGTGTTTTAAGCTGTTTCCCCCAGTATTGGATAAGATACAGAATAAATTAGGGTGTTTGAAAGGGTCACTTTGATATATTTGCAAAGTGAAATTCGCTCTCAGGAAGGTACTGAAGTTGGAAAACTGCTTCATTTCTCCACATTGGGTCTATTGCCCAGCTTCAGAAGGAAATTTGGGAAATAGTTGACAGCTTTCCAAAGGAAGGCTGAGCTTCCTGCTTTCCCAGCATGACCCAGGCCCTGGAAAAACAACATGACATATCCAAACCCCAGACTTGGAAGCACCATCTCCCACTGGCCTCCCGGTGACTCCCATGCCCAGCAGCTCAGCACCAGGGCTTAGTTAAGAACTGGCATCCCAAAGCCAGGCTTGCTTTTGCCCTGGATTTGGGAAAACAGCCGTCTTTAGGCAATACCAGCCCATGGAAACATTTTCCCAAGGCACGTGGAAGGCCGGCCTGTTGCCGCTTGCACCTTGGCTGGAGCTGCCCACACGTGACACGGCCCAGCTCCGGGCTCTGCAAGGAACAAACATTCCTTGTCACATTCCCCATCCAAGCCCTGGCACACCTCGCAGTGTTTTTGCTTTTCCATGGGACCAGCCCCAGGACACAAACCCGAGGAAGAGACGAGGCATGGCAGGAGTGAGGTGATGTCACCTCCCCGGGGAACTCGTTCCTCTGCAAATCCCAATCCAGGCTGGAGCTGAGCTCGCCCCTGATCACCCCGAGGGAATCCGCCCACAAGGATCAACAGCAGGTGGTGGAGGGTGGGAAAACATATAAAGCTCCCTGGGAGCAGCTCTCCCTGACTGTCCTGGCTCCACGGATCTGCCCTCAGCATGAAGACACTCCTGGTTGGGCTCCTGCTTGGCTTGGCATGCCTGGAATTGGGTAAGATCTCCTCATTTCCAACTCTGCAGGCGACCCCCCCTGGAAATTCCTGGGAGGGGAGGGGAAAGGAATCAGTGCAGAGAGACCTGGGAACCCCCAGGGAGGGGAAATAACACTTTTATGTGTTTAAGAAGGACACTGGAGAGAGTGAATGGGGAAAAAGGATTTGCATTCCTGGTGGGAAGAGCTGTGATTCCTGATTGAGAATGATGCATATCATTTGGATACACAGGGATGTGTATCCCATATCCAGGGATGGAGGGGATCAAGGCTGCTTTATAAGACTCAGGTCTAAATGGCAGCAACGTGGCACAGGGCAGGAGGACCAGCTTGGGCAAGAGCTTAAACCTAAGCTGCCATCCTGTCCCTTCAGGAATGGGGTGGGATATGTTCATCCAGAGCTCCTGCCATCCCTAAAATCTCCCAGCTGGCTGCTGGAAGCACCGAAAACCAAGGGATGAACTTCAATCTAGATATGAGTGAAGGGAGGAGAAAAAACTCCAAAGGCTTTGGAAAGGTTCATTAAACTGCCCGCTCCAAGATTTTCCCTCATTTCTGGAGATGAGGAGATGGGTGGGGTGGGAATTCCCCTGGGGCTGTTGGGGTTTGGTTTCTGGTGGGTTTGGATTTTGGGCAAGCAGGGTTTGGTCATCACTGTGTCTTCCTCCATCTGTTTGTCACCTACTGCAGCTCCATCCCGGGGGTGACACCACCCCAGTGGGGTTTAACCTCCAGCCCCAGAGACCCTCAGGATGCTTCCATGGGACCCTGAAGGATCCCAAAGGAAAGGCAGCCTGGACAGGGGTAAAATATCTCCATCTGGAGCCCTGTTTTGGATCCAACGGAATTTCTGAGGATATGACAGAGCAGGTTTCCACCTGTAGGTCTGGCAGTGCTGGCACGGAGAGGCACCACCACCCTTTGTTTTAGAGGTGAGGTCAGTGCAGAAGCAGATTTTCTGGGATGATCCAGTGGGAAGCAACTGGTTTAGGGACAACTGAGGGATGTGTCTGTGACCATTCATCTTCCAGAGGTGTGATATCAAGGGAAAAGTACTGTTGGATAGTGATGAACCGGGAATTATTGGCCCAAGATCAGGACACAGAGATGTCCATGTTCGGTTCTCCTGGTCTGATCCTTATGGATTTCAGCTTTCCTCTTTCCCTGCAACCTTCCTACAAAACCAGTGTCTTCTGAGTCAGTGAAAGATGAGGGGGCTGAAGTTTTTCTTCCTTAAATCTGCTTTTAACTGGAATTCATTCCCACAGAGTCTGGGGCACTTCCCTGCTCTCCATGAAAATGGTGAGGTTTGGAAACCACCTCAACTCCAAAGGTTGCAGAGCCATTTCTCAGGTGCTTTGTGCCACCACTGCTTCATCCATTCATCCATCCACCCACCCATCCATCCACCCACCCATCCATCCACCCACCCATCCATCCACCCACCCATCCATCCACCATCCATCCATCCACCATCCACCCATCCATCCATCCACCAACCATCTATCCACTCATCCATCCACCCATCCATGTACTCATCCATCCATGCACTCATCCATCCATCCACCCATCCATCCATCCACCAACCACCCATCCACCCATCCACCAACCATCTATCCACTCATCCATCCATCCATCCATGCACTCATCCAGTCATCCATCCATCCACCCATGCATCCATCCACCCATGCATCCATCCACCCATGCATCCATCCACCCATGCATCCATCCACCCATGCATCCATCCATCCATCCATCTATCCATCCATCCATCCATCCATCCACTCATCCATCCACCCATCCATCCACCATCCATCCATCCACCAACCACTCATCCATCCATCCATCCACCATTCCACAAACATCCAAACTCTCAGACTGATGATGTGTTTCCTCCCTCAGTGGGCACATGTGAAAATATAAACCATTTTAAAATATAAAACAATTTAAAATATAGAACAACTTCTCATGGATCATTTGGAAGGTATTTAGTGACATCCTGTGCTGGGAAAAACCTGGATGGCTCCACCACACCTGTTTCCCAGGATGTGGCCATGACAAAACCATCACCACTCACATTAGAAAGTCTTTTTTACCTCTGCAAAGAGAACAAAGAGAATTTTTGCATCATGTAGGTTCTACTGCACAGAATTTTCCAAAGGAGGTGCTGAGAGAAATAACCTTAAAAATTCTTCAAATGTCATAAATTTTAAATTTAATTTAAATTTTAAATTAAAAAATTAACTTACATTTTAAAATTTAAATCTAACTTTAATTTTTTTTTTAGTATTTAATTTTAACTTACATTTGCAAACTTCAATTTCAAATATTGAAAAAGAGGACAAAGACAATTTTTGAATTGTGTAGGTTCTACTACACACTTGAATTTTCCAAAGGAGGTGCTGAAAAAAGTAACCTTAAAAATTCTTAAAATGTCTTAAATTTTAAATTTAATTTAAATTTTTAATTAAAAAAATTAATTGTAACTTAAATTTTAAAACTTAAAACTAATTTTATTTTTTTAACTTTTTAAAAATTTGATTTAACTTGAAGTTTAAATTTAAAAAAAAAGACAACAAAGACAAGTTTTGCATCGTGTAGGTTCTACTACACAGAATTTTCCAAAGGAGGTGCTGAGAGAAGTAGATGCCTTAAAAATTCTTCAATTTTCTTAAATTTAAATGTAATAATTTTTCTTAATTTAAAATTTAAATTTTTAACTTACATTTTAAAACTTAAATCTAACTTTAATTTTTGAACTTTTTTTTTAGTACTTAATTTTAACTTACATTTAAAAACTTCAATTTCCAATTTTGAAAAAGAGGACAAAGACAGGTTCTGCTACACACCTGAATTTTCTGAAGCGGGTGCTGAGAGAAGTAGATGCCTTAAAAATTCTTCCAATTTCTTAAATTTAAATGTAATTATAATTTAAAATTTAGATTTTTAACTTACATTTTAAAACTTAAATCTGCATTTAATTTTTAATTTATTTATTTTTTTTACTATTTAATTTTAACTTACATTTTAAAACTTCAATTTCAAATTTTGAAAAAGAGGACAGACAGGTTCTACCACACACCTGAAATTTCCAAAGCAAGTGCCTTAAAAATTCTTCCAATTTCTTAAATTTAAATTATTTTTTTTTTTAATAAAAAATTTAAAATCAGGGCTCCAAACAATTTCTCCTTCTCCAAAGCCCCAGAAGCTTCCTCTCTGGCAGCAGACCGAGCAGAATTAGAACATAAAACATCATCTATTTGAAATGTTACCAGTAGATGGCACTGGCTGGTTGGTTTGGGATGGTAGAACCACGACTTTGGAATATCCGCACCCTCGGGATCCGCCGGTTTGGGATGGGAAGGGCTCACGGAGGGATTTTGAGCAGCTGTCGGGATCCAGGATTGCCCGGGATCAAGGATTGGTGGTGTCCCTCCATCGGCCAGCAAGAGTTTAGGGCGTCATTTCTTTATAAAGTACCAAAAGTCCCTGATGGAAGTGGGATTTTCCAGCCCTCGGGATCTCTGAGGCAGCTCTGGAATTTCGGCTCTACTCTCAGTTCCCAGTTTCTGCAGAATTCCCCCTGACCAGGCGGGAAGGAGCTGCCGCTGTGGGAGGAGGGATGGGGGAACTGCCGCACTTGCCCGGCTGGGGGAGGCTGCTCCCAGCAGGAGGAGATATTTCCATACAATCAGAGAATATCCTGAGTTGAAAGGGATCCACCAGGATCATCCAGTCCAACTCCTGCACAGGACACCCCAACAATGCCACCCTGTCCCTGAGAGCGTTGTCCAAACGCTCCTTGAGTTCTGACAGCCTTGGAAGTCTCTGGGGAGCCTGTTCAGTGCCCAACCACCCTCTGGGGGAAGAACCTTTTCCCAAGATCCAACCTAAACCTCCCCTGGAGCAGCTCCATCTTTCCCTGATGTCCTGTGATGGGTCATCACAGAGTAGAGATCAGTGCCTGACCCCTCTGCTTCTCCTCACCAGGAAGTGGGAGCCAAACTCCGAGCTCTCCCCTCAGTCTCCTCTTCTTGAGCCGGAATATTTGGCTCTTGTACAACATTGTTTTTGCAGGGAATTCACAGATCCATCAAGAGACCTCTCTAAATCCCTGCTTTTTTTTGGGGGAGCTGCTGAGCCCCCCAGGCAGCATTTGGGCTCAGCTCCTGCCACACCCTCCTTGTCTTTGTTGCTGGGGTTTTCCTCCCTGACATATCCAAGCTTTGTCGTTGCCTCCAAACCTGCTTAGTTTTGGACACCACCAGCTCTCGGTCAGGAAGCTGCAGCCTTGTGTCACCTTTTGTGTCACCTTTTGTGTCACCTCAGAGCCTTTGTGTCCCCTTTTCAGCCCAGTCCTTACGATGCTACACGTGCAAGGAGCCCACGGACATCTCCAAGTGCAGAACAGCCACCGTGTGTCCCCCCAAGACCAACGTGTGCACCACGACCCTGCACTCCGTGGACACGGGTGAGTCCCACTGATTCCTGGGAATGCTCCTGGGGAGGGAGCAGAGACTCACAGAATGGGGTGGGTTGGAAGGGATCATCCAAATTCCGTGGGCAGGGACACCTTCCACCAGACCAGGTTGCCCCAGCTTGGCCTGGAACACTTCCAGGGATGGGGCAGCCACAGCTTCTCTGGGAATTCCATCCCAGTCCCTCACCACCCTCACAGGGATATTCCTTCCCAGTATTCCATCTAAATCTATCCTGTCAGTTTAAAACCATTCCCCCTTGTGCTGCCACTCCATCCCTTGTCCCAAATCCCTCTCCAGCTCTCCTGGAGCCCCTTTAGGCCCTGGAAGGAGCTCTCAGGTCTCCCTGGAGTTTTCTCTTCTCCAGGTGAACCTCCCCAGCTCTCCCAGCCTGGCTCCAGAGCAAAGGAGATCCAGCCCTTGGAGCATCTCCGTGGCATCCTCTGGACCTGTTCCAACAGGTCCAGGTCATTCTTCTGCTCAGAACTCCAAATCTGGATGCTGTGATCCAGGTGGGGTCTCACCAGAGCAGAGCAGAGAGGCAAAATCACCTCCCTCGACCTGCTGGACATGCTTCCCTCTCCCGTCCCAATCCCAGTTTGGATTACCCCTTAACTCCTCTGTAGTATCCAGGTGAAGTTATTCCACTGTAAAGAGGGAAGAAGAGGAATCCATCAGATTTGGAGCCTCGTAGTGAAGTACACAAGACTCATTATGTATATATTAGGGATTTTTAAAAATATGTATGAGTTTTATTTATATATATTAGATAACTTTTTATTTTTGTATTTTTATATATTTTACATATATTTTCTATGTTAAATTTTAATCAAGGCATTAAATAGATTGATCTAAATGTATATAAATATATATTATAAAAATATATAATATATATTTATATATTTTTATATTATATATTTATATATTAACATATTTATATATTATCAATAAATATATAAATATATTTATGTATTTATTAATCAATAAATATTTATTTATTGATAAAATAGCAATAGAAATATATAATATATAAATATATTAAACATAAATATAAATATAAAATTCTAATATAAAATATAGTATGAAGTATAAATATAATTATAAGTATAAATATAAATATGAAATTATAAACACAAAATTATAAACATGCAAATATAAATATAAAAACATAAATATAAAGATAGAAAACATTTTTTATGATTTTTTAACATACATTTTTAAAAGTATACTTTGCTCTGGGGTTTTTTGCTTTTCCCACCCCTGTGCCCTTACAGGCCCTGAATTTATAGCTGTATTCAAACTTGGACAGGGATTTGTGTCCCTTTACCACGCCGGAATAATTTAGCAAGGAGTAGGAGGGTTAGAGAGAGTCAGCACTAAGAATTTGTGGTCCTATTCCCACAAAAAACAGCCTGGATTAGAGGCATCCATGGATTAAAGACATCCATGGATTAAAGACGTTCAACACCTAATTTTCCCGTGTTTCTCGACGCCAGCCTCCTGCACTTCCTTTACCGCTTCTTCCTCTCTCTTACCTTCTCCCCCCTCTCCAACCTGCCTCTTCCAGGGTATCCCTTTTTTGGGAACATCACGGTGACCAGGAGCTGTGAGGAGGAATGTCTGCCCAACAACGGCATCGGGGACAACAAACCCAAGTCCTGCTGCTACACCGACCTGTGCACCAGCGACACCAGGGCCAGCAGCGGGGTGAGGAGCAGCTCCTCGGCCCTGTCTCTGCTGGTCCTGCTGCTTGGGAAGCTCCTCCAGTGCTCCCTGTAGTGTCCCAAGCCAAAACATCCCCTCCCCTCTCTCTGCCAAGGGAACTCTTCGATCCCTTGGGAACGACTCCTCTGCTGCCGCGTGGCTTCACTCGTCTCCTAACGCTGAGAACTCAAGTGGATTCAAGCCAAGGGTTTGGGCACCTGGAGCTAAACCCCTCAAATTTCCAGCTTCTAGGTGCCAACCAGATGTTTCCTCACTTTCAGCTGCTTTTGGTCCATTTTGGAACTTCTTGGTTCTATAGAATCATGGAATGGGTTGGGAAGGGACCTCCGATATCATCTCATTCCAAGCCCCTGCCATGGGCAGGGACACCCTCCACTATCCCAGGTGGCTCCAAGCCCTGTCCAAACTGGTCTGGAACAATTCCAGGGATGGGGAAGCCACAATTTCAACTTCCCTGGGCAGCTCTGGTGCCACCCCCTGAGTCAGAGGAGCAGATGGATCTGGTCCCGGGTTTTTTGCTGCCCATCAGAGTGTGGATGGCAATGGCAGAGAGCTGGCACTTCATTTGGTCAGGAATAAACTATGGAATGAGTTCAGAAGGGCTCAGCTTCCGTGGGTTGGGATGGGATGTATTTCTGGAAAGCTCAGAACATTCCCCAGACTCACCAGGCCAGGGTGGGTTAGAACTGGAAAACCAAATCTGGGAATTTGGCCACACAAACCCCTCAGGATCCTCTGCCTGAGCTCAGGTTGCAGCCAGAGCTCCCAGATTTCCCTTCCCAGATGTTTTACACACTATTCCAAGCAAATTCTTCTGTCAGTCTGCCCTCCCCTCATCCCTCCACAGCAGGAAAGGAAAAGGAATGATTATCCCAGACCCCCAACTCTGGGAAAAGCCAGTTACCAGCACTCCTGGATCCCAGCTGGGATTTGCTTGGAGCACCTGTGGAATTGATTCTGCTTCCCTATCTGCTGGAAAAGCAGCTGGAGTGGAAGCAGATAAGGATGAGCCAGGTGTTCCCAGCTCCCAACCCTCTCCGGGGTGGGAGAACCAGGGAATTTGCCATTTACTCTGTTCGTGCAGCCAGGGCTCATCCAGGGCTGCAGGAACCCCCTGGCAGAGCAAGGGCAGAGTGGGGCATGGACACAGCCTGGGTACCATCCATGGACACAGCCTGGGTACCATCCATAGACACAGCCCGGGCACCATCCCTGTGTGCTCAGGGCATCCCTGCAACCTCCTCTCTGCCAAATGCCATCTTCCCTCCATTTTCCTTCCCCTTCCTTTTCCCTCCCCCTTCTTTTTTTCTCCTCCTTCCTTTTTCCTCCTCCTTCCTTTTTCCTTCTCCTTTCTTTTTTCTTCTCCCTTCTTTTCTCTCCTTCCTTTTGTCTCCTCCTTTTCTCCCTTTTTTCCTTCTCCTTCCTTTTCTCTCCTTCCTTTTCTCTCCTTCCTTTTCTCTCCTTCCTTTTCTCCTTCCTTGCTTCCCCCTCACTTCCCTCTCTCTTCCCCCTTGTTTCCCTCTCCCTTTTCCCCCCATTTTCCACAGTTTCCATACAACACCAGTAGGAAAACAAAGCGGGGGGGCTCTTTTTCCTCCTTGCACACAGAACTATCTCAAGCTCTATCTCAGCACCATTTACAAGAAAACTCTGCCAACCTTTGCATTCCCTGGCAGAGGGTCCCTGTGCAATCCTGGGGCTCAGGGGGCTGAGGGGCCCCTTTGTTCTCCTTAGAACCCCGACAACTTCCCCAAAACACCCTTGGAATGCTGAGATCCACAAGGAAAAACGCCACGGAGAGGAAAATAACGGGGAGTTACTCCAACACCGATATTCCACCCACCCTCACAGACACTGAGCACCAGTTTCTGCTTCCTACTCCTCTGTTCCCGGTTTCCCTGCTCCAAAACCAGCCTGATGCCAGGCCAGAAGCAAATCACCGTCACTGCCACCCTTAAATCACATCTTTGTTGTGTTCGGGGTGTCCCCAGTGGCCATTCCAGTGCGAAACCGGGCTGAGCTTCCCTCCAGCTCTCATGGATGGGGCAGGATCTGCATCCAGGGAGGGCGTGACTTCCCTCCTGGGTGAGAATCCGGAAAATAAAGTTGGATCCTCTGGTTTTTCAGCCTGTAACATCTTTCTTGGGTGCTCAGATTCCCCCAGGGAGGGAGGACAGGGCAGGAAGGACGGATCTGCGCCAGAGAGGGGGGAAACTACACAAAAATACACTTTGGAAGAGCCACATGTAAGGCTATTCCTGCCGGAAAAGGAGTGGGAGAAGGGTGGCAGAGGGCGAAGAACAACCCAGTGGCTACAGGAAGGTCATTTGGGACAACACTGGGGGAACTGGGGGGTTTCATGGAGCAGTTTCTCCTGCAGGAGGCAAAGAGAGACTGGCATTGAGGCAACAGGAGGTTGGAAGAGACCATTTCCTCCTTTTTTCTCCTTTTTTTCTCTTTTTTTTTCTTTTTTTTCTTTTTTTCTCCTTTTTCTCTCCTTTTTTTCTCTTTTTTTTTTCGATTTTTTTCTCCTTTTTTCTCCTTTTCCCTCCTTTCCTCCCTTTTCCTCCCATTTCCCCTTATCCTTTTTTTCTCCTTCTTTTCTCCTTTTTCTCTCCTTTTTCCTCCTTTTTTTTTCCTTTTTTCCTCCTTTTCCCTCTTTCCCCCTTCCCCCTTTTCCTCTCCTTTCCCCCTTCCCTCCTTTTTTTCTCCTTTTCCTCCTCCTTTTTCTCCTCTACCCCCCCTTTTCTCCTTCTCTTCCCCCTTTTCCCCTCTTTTTCCCCATTTTTCCCCCTTTTTCCCTCCCTTCCCCCCTTTTTCCTCCCTTTTTCCTCCTTTCTTCTCCCTTTCTCCCTTCTCCCTTTCTTCTCCCTTTCTCTCCTTTTTCTACTCCTTTTTCCTCCTCTTTCCTCCTTTTTTTCCCCCCTTTGTTTTCTCCTTTTTTCCTCCTGCAGCCAAAACAGCCTCAAAATCAGATTTTTTTTTTCTTATCTTCAAAACCCTCTTAATACATTCCCTGATTAGCTGAGGTGAAAAAAACCCTTCCCAGGGAGTGTCGGGGGCACAAAATGTCCTTTTTAATAATCACCTGCTCACACCATGGGAGCCACAAACCACAGGCTGGAAGCTCTTGAAAAATGGGATTTTGCTGCTTTCTTTTTTCAGTTATTCCTGTTATTTATCCTCCTGTTTGGTCCTTAGGACTCAAACTGCCCCACAAACCCAGGGCACTGCTGGAGGAATCAAAGGACTCGGCCGAGTTTTACGTCACTGGGTCGAGTGGACACGCGGAGGGAGAAGTTTAAATTTAGGCTGAATTAAATAGGACAGGGAAAGATGTGGCTCCAAAAGGCCACAAAAAGACCTGCAGCCTCCTGGCCCTGCAAGACGAGGCTTCACAGCCGAAGATGCTGCTCTGCTGAAGGATTTTACTTGTCCCTCTGAGGCCTTGGTTTAAACAGGAGCCTTTCTGTGCACATCCACAGGTTTTATCTCCAAATTTCAGGGTGTTCCTTGGGGTTTTGTGCTTTATTTGGCCAAGGAATTGCCTTTTCCAGCCCTTCTGCAGATGTGGGGTGTCCTTGCAGACTTGCAGCCCTGCAGATCATGGGATGATGGAATGGTTTCTGTGGGAAAGGAGCTTAAAGATCATCCAGTTCCACCCCCTGCCATGGGCAGGGACACCTTCCATTATCCCAGGTTGCTCCAAACTGGCCTTGGACACTTCCAGGGATGGGGCAGCCACAGCTTCTCTGGAAATTCTATTCCAGCCTCTCACCACCCTCCCAGGGAAGAATTTCTTTCTGACCTTGACCACCTGCTCTTGGTTGCAAATCTCCAAGTGCTTTTGTCCATCTGGAAATTAAAGAGCAAAGAACAACAAAGACTAAACTTCCAGGGAGCTGTTTGCAGACTCACACCAGTGAGGATATTCCAAGTGGGAAATCCCACCTCCAGCCAAGCATCAGGGAGCTGTGCCTGCTTTGAGTGGCCTTTCCTTGCGGGCTCCACGAGCCTCGAAGGCGGAGTGGCAATTCCAAAAGGTAATTCCATCCTCTGGAATCACGGAACACCCGGATTTCCCTCGAACTGGGCTGGGTTCAATCCCACTGTTTTGGCTTGGGCAGGATTCCAACAGGAGCATCCCTGGGGCTGCAGGAGACACACAAACAGCAGGATTGATATTTAGAGGGCTGGGTTTTCCAACAGGGATCATTTCCAGGTGTTTTCCACAGCGGGACACCGGACACCCCACGTGCAGCCACATTTATCTCAGCAGGCCCTGATTGCAGCCTGGCTCAAGCTCCGTGGTGGGAAACACCAGGAGCTCTTTGGCTGTTTGATTTTTTTAAAAAAACTTTATATGTTTTATCTCCTTTTGGAGCAAGAGAGGGAAAAAAACCCAACAAAAACCTCTTGGAATGTGCATTAATCCAGATGAACACGAAAAAAACAGAGATGAGACAAATCAAGGGCAGAAACTGTTGCAAAACTCCAAGAGGGGGGAAAAAAACGGGGATATTTTTTGCAGTCCGGATAGTTAATGTAAAACAGAGCTCTGATGTCATCAAACACAGAGAGGACTTGTAGTTCCTGCTAAAAATACCTATCTGGAATATAAATATCCATCAGTGTGTAGCTGTAAGGCTTCTGGAGAAATCTGCCCCGTCTCCCCTGCACAGACAGGGATTTAAATGTTTAATCCAAGGCAAGTTGCTCCATCTGAAGGAGTTATTAATTATGGAATGCTCTTGGCAAGGATGAAGTGCAGCAGCAGCAGCAGTGATATCATTTTCAATATCACTCTCGAATTATTTCTCATCTAAAACTTATCTTGTGCAGGAGGGGAGGGTTTTGGGGGTCTTGAAATAGATGTGTTTTTCCATATTAGGGTTTGGATGATTTGAAGCATCTGGCTCTGCCACGGCAGCACATCCTCTCTCAGATATCTTCATTTCCCTCCTGCATGAGTCTCACATCCCTAATTCCAGAGGAATGGATCTGAAGCCTCTTTACCTCTTTATTCCCGCCAGAAAACTGAGGCAAATGCCCTAAAAATGAGGTGAAAAGAAGGTGTCAGAGCAAATGTGTTGAGGGGGGAGGGAGGCAAGCACAACGTCGTGCGGTTTCTTAATTTAGAAAAGTCATTTGGGGTCATTTGAATACAAAAGGGATGCTCAGAGCGTCCTAAAAGGGGGCAGATGGTCTGTCTGGGCTTTTCTTCTGTCACAGGCCTGGGGCTCCTCTCCAAAGCTTCCCGGAGGTTTGGAAAAGCATAGGGTGTGTCAGTCAGTCATTCTGTGCCTTGTGGGGCTACTCTGGATCCTGATCCCACTTTTTCCTCTCAGGTCCCGTTAAATAAATGGGA